GATTCGGTACCCTTTTTCCGTGAGCCCTCGGCGGAGGAGGGTTGTGTTATGGTTATAGGCTATGCGGAAGTCACATTGCGGAGTGATGAGGAGTGGGTGATATTATATTAAGTGGGTGAGAGCGAATAGACTCATACAATACTATGCTGTAGGTATATGGACAGAAAGTATAAGTCTAAACCTGAGCTGATTTATTGTGGGTACATCTATGAAACTATATACATGCTCGTCTAACCAGTACACTAGTGATATATGCTGTGGCCTTGAGCCACAGGCGATGCCCTAGTCTCGACTACTTCGTTGTCTCATATCATAATCGGTTGCTGGGGCGGGCAGGGAGAGCTGGTGGAGTGCTCCCTGGGCCTGATTTGCGTCGTGCGACGCTTTTCAGCCTCCATCACTGATTGCAGGTCCAGCGGAAATGCTGGTACTGATGTAGAAGCTGTGCCTTGGTAAGCTGGCACAGAGAATTTTCTTGGAGACGTTTCTGCGTGTTCTGTCGTCTTCTCTCGGACGAATTCCTCTCTTTCCTGGAGCAGCTTGCCTCCGGGGCAAGCTGGATAGGAATATGTTGGAAATCTAGACTTAGAACATATGAAGGTTTAGATTTCTATGTATGATCATCAAGATCAATTCAATTGACCCGATTGCATATGGTTAAGCTTAGCTGGGCGACATGAGGTTCAGTGTTATCTGAAATGCAGTGGCTAGGAAATGCTACCTTGCGATAATTAGGTGGCTGGTTGTTGCTAGATCACTGGGAGTTCGGGATCACTAAAGCCTCGGGATCTGTATTTAAAGATAGAATTACTTGCATGTGTTAAACTACGTTAACGGAGTGTAATATATTATTAATTCATATTGAGAAGAGAGTTCGATATCACATACAACTATCAATAAATTCTTGTCCGAAATTGTACACTTGTTCTTCGAGATATTTCCTCCTAGAAATCCTTGACAATATCTAACAGAATGTGGGCCTCGGACCAAATTTTAATGACCTGATGGGCTCAGAATCAGTCATCTCTTTGTTTGTAAGGCTTGGAGACTTCCCCTCGATGAAGGCCTCACTCGGAAACATGCTTGAAAGTTTTTGCGCAAGGCCAGGTGTTTTTGCGGGAGCCCTCGGGCGGACTCTGGAGTTGTCCAACATTGCATTGGGCACCTTTTTTCGAATAGGTGGCATGATTAAAATGCCAGCGACTCATTCACAATATTTTTGGGAGAATGCGACAAACGCGAGAGGGGGAAAAAGGGATTATTCGATATTTCAAATTTCAAAAAAATGTATGTGTATGTGTTTATTGTCCTAAAAAGTCTATGAATATGTAAGGACATGTAGGTCCTTTCTGCCTACAGGCCGGGAGTATCTATGCGTCGGATAGTGTACTCCCTCCTATGCCTCCTTCAAGACTTCTTTCCAGCAGTAATATCCCCTTAGCCCTTTATTCGAGTACACACTAAGAGGAGCCGTTATCCCGTCAATATCTCCCCTCTACAACCAACGAAACGATGGCCATTCGCGGGTGTGTAGCTGCAGGGAAAAGTCTCAAAAACCAGTGGGTGCGGGGCTTTCCTATGACGAAGAGGCCGGCCAGCCGGGCGCAGCAGACCTGTGTATACCTGGGAGCGTCTCTCAACCTTCCTAGCCTCCTCCTTACTCCTCCCTTGATTCATGCCACAGGACAAACCGAAGGTCGTAAAAAGATGTCAGAAAAGGCTTGGTCAAGATTGACCACCATGAAAGAGCCTGGCCTAGCATTCAAAAGTCGTCACGGACGTGAGATCGTCGAGTAACTCATGTATTTCAGAATCCCTCTTGGCTAGTAGATTCGGAAGTGTAGATTAGTAGGGACGATATTGTAGACGAGTCGAAATCTGCTTATCTTGAGGGCGGAAGGGTCTTTTACTTTGCTTTCGTGGGCTTTTTGTTCGCCCGCCGATGGCTAGCACTTGTCATAATGTATTGAGGGCTTCTCTAACTACCGTTGTAGCGTTTGGTACCGCATGATCTCTCCTCATTCCCAGCATGATTATCGTCGTCTTCGTCGCCTTGTGACTTATCGGAAGTGTATCTTTGATAGAGAGGGAGATAACTCAGCTTAAAGTTGAAAAGGTGTCACTCAATCTCAGCTCCGTAGACTCTACTGCGAGAGCCGGAGGTTCATAAGACACACTACTTAAAGGTATTGAGAATAGACCCCCTTTTCGTTATAATAGGAAAGTGATATGGCCACAATGTCACGGAATGGCGTCGTGATATAAACAATCGAGCGAAGTTAACGAAGTCTATTCTGATTATCTAAAACAATGATATAAAGAAGATGTCTTTACAGTGTGTTTAGGAGCTTTCAGTACAATGATAATTTACCGGTGTATTGTTAGTGTTACCTAAGATCGACATTACTTAAGTGGGTCTCAAGACCTTATTTGGGGAATCTATCTTGGTAGCTTTAAGCCTACAACACACAACTACAAGCCATCACGTTGAGTAGTAGTTGTACTGTCCCACAACACTAAATCTCCAAGACCGAGCTTATACAGCTTCATTTCCAACATAACATCTGTTGTCGGCTCAGTCTGGCCTTAGCTCCTCTCCGAACGCACACCCACGAGAATACAGATACCTGTATTAGGACAAATATCTTGGTACCAGAATCTGGGAGGTAGATCTTGGCAATAGACGCGAGAGAGATGAATACCAATGGCGATGTTTCAGCGAGTGGTAGCTGCAATAAATGAAAGTATATTCGTGACGGGCACAAGCCCTGCACTCAAAGAGCATGACACGGAGAAGACTAGCTTCTCCGACGACTATATTCGACAATAACTCAGTTTAACATTTGGACTACTCATGTATTGGGTGCATTCACTGATACCACTCGAGACCTTGGTGCTAGGGACTTTCATCCTTCCCTCAACCGTTAACATCCACTAGAGGGAAAACAGGAAAAAAACCTTTGGCTACCCTAACATGCCTTTGCCATCTTGTATAGAGCCGCCGCGCGAGATTTGACCTCACAGTCCTCCCTCTCTCGAGTGAGGTAGGTGTCCAGGCTACCCAGACTTTAATTCGGGGAGATGACAACCAGGAGGCGGACCAAAACACCTTCCATCGTTGCCTATATTTAGAGTGTCGGTTGCACTATCCTAAATCGTTGCCTCTGCGCCTACAGACACCCTTAAGTCGAAAATACTCTAACAATGTGCGTCCCACATCCCAGTTGCCTGTCCTCCCTCAAGATGTGAAGCCCCATTAGAGCAACGGTCCCCCATAGACCAAGACCCGAGCTTTGTAGATTATGGCATGAATTCCTCCTCGCGGGTATACATAGCATCGTAAGTGTGTAGTGGGAGATGACCGGTTTTTAATGAGGCAAATGCCCGATTGCAACTGGAGTAACGCCATTATCGGTATTTGAGGAGAGGTGATGTAGTAAGATTGAGGTGGAGGACTCGCGTGAGAATGATAGGTCCAACGTTGACGATGAGTCGTCGATTTTAGATGTGCTTGTGAATGCTTTCGACTTCGATTTGGATGCGATTCTTCTTGGCTATCCCAGATATGCAGAGCATATTGAGCAATTACACCGCCAGCACTGGAAGGTGAAGAATTCGTCTTTGCCGGCTCTCGGTATTCCAAGATATATCATATTTCAACAAAACACTCTTCGTACTACTATTTGAGTATTACTAGCTAGAACTAAAATGCTTGACGTACGATCCCAAAATTAATGCCGTATTTCTGATCGAGATCTTCAAGTCTAGTGTGTACATATTGCTTCACTTACTGGTTCGCATTCCGATCCCATAAACTCTGAGTGAGGGTTGGATAGAGTAGAATAGAATTCAATTTAAGTCCCTACTAAGTCTATGACTATGAAGGACTGCTAAAGATAACTCAATAAATTTAAAATTTAATTGTCTTTTCGACAATTGATTTGCTTAATATTTACCAATACATGCCAAGAGCCTTGCCCTAAGTAGGGTTGTATGGTGCAGTAGTAGATCGTTCGGGCCGTTATTCCAAGCAGATTCTGGGTAGCGTGAACGCTAACCCTGCCTGAGACAAGAGGAAGATGGTTCTAATTCAGATAGATCCACACATCACTCTCTTTCGCGGAGAAATTGTACTTTTGGCATGATAAAAGCACTCTCGGATAACAATTGACTTTTAACGCTTTTCCCTGTGGTGGGTATGCACGAAAGAGGTTATACGCCGTAGGGGTTAATCTCGAGTAGTATCTGCAAATGACATCCGAGTGAGTGTTCTAAATGTCAAGTTGAGTCATCCTACTTAAAAGTACATATCTTCCGATAAAAACCTGCATGGGCCTCCAGGCGCCAAATCAGGATGATAAATAATTTATTTACTTTTACTCTGGGTCACTAAGCTAGTTTTGCATTCATAGTGCTTTCCATCGACATCTACCAATCATGGAGCCTTGAGCTAACCTGTTTTGATAAACAGCCGCCAAAGCGTATCCGCCAGATTAACACTAAGCGCCAGTGTCGATCCTGATCTTGCCCTCCCATGCCGAGCTAACGCAGGAGCCAAGAGGTGTAACTTCCAGTAACTGTTGCATTAGATTCCGGGACAATCAGAAACATCAGACATGTTAATGTATGTTGGTTCAAACTCATGGGCTTTTCAGTTGCTCGGACGAGATATCATGTCTAAAAAATACCAATAACTTCTGTAATGCGCGTTCTCCCATCTCAATCCAGGTATTTTGACGCTACGAAGTAAAGCATCCCGTTAACCGAGTTATCTCGGCCATCGGAAGTTTAAAAGCAATTCCGCAAGCTATGCAGGTCACGCATAGTTTCTCCAACCGCCCAACCGCCCAGCTGCATGAATGTGGAGAGTCGCATGCAGCTGTTGAAACAATCGGGACGTTTTGCGATAAATTCCCCTGCATGAAAGTAACGCAAAAATTCGAACTTGCTTATCATTTAGGTCATTATCAATGTCATCATTCGAATTTCTGGCCAACGTTTTATGCGCCAAGTGCAGTCCTTGCTGCCCTCCAATACGCCATTCGACTCTCGTTGATATCCGAGATCCCTACACATCGCATGTGCGCCGTGAATCCTTCATCACCGTTGCTGGCTTGCAACGTGCGCCTTGCATCGGCACAAGCTGATTGTTGTGTTAGAAACCAGGCCGCACTCGCCCAAGTATAGTCATCAGGAAGTACAAGAGCACGGATTTGATTCAGCTGATCAGAGTTAAGACCATCGGTTGAAGTATATGTGGTTTGTGATGCTAACTCAGGAATCGACTTGACGTATTGAAGGTTGAAGGATGCAGATTGCATGTTACGCGTACCTTGACCCGGATTGCCGGGAAAATGATTGATGTTATACTTGAAGTTGCCACTTTCAAAAGCAATTAAAGCTAGAATGGAAGCTTGTTCGCTCAGACTATTGATGGAGTATTTCGACATTGCAGCATTGAGAAATGGCGCCGCCTGAGCACTGGTAGCACATTCGTCTGATGGAGAAGGACAGGAATCAGAGCCGGGAGCTACTTGAAGTATTTGAGCACTGGTGATTTCGTTGTCTCTAAGCTGAATGGATCGAGCTACAATATGAGCCGGTCCCACGAAAATAGTAAAATAGAAAAACGTTAATCGCATGGTTGAACGTGTCAGAAGCGATATTGAGATTTCCGAATAACGGGAAGTTCGGGAACAACGGCTTTTATCGTGGTTAAGATTGGTAGTGACCCCTAAATACCGAGTGCAGTGTGATCAATTTCCACGGCGCTTTTGGTGAATGACTGCTCTGTATGCTCAGCCAGCTATGACTATGAGGTGTGCTGTAGCATTTCCCGGGTGGGAGAGATCAGGTTAATAAAGATTTGAGACTCCCTGTTCAGCAATGACCCAAGTCCTGGACTGATGCCGGTCGCAGATCGTCGACTCCTGAGATGGAAGAACGACGACGACAATGATGATGATGATGATGATGATGATGATGACGATGATATCAGGCAACTTGGGGACTAAAGATGCCGTGAGTATAATAGAACTGTGATGAGATATCTGATCATCTTGATTAAGGACCGACTTTGATACCATTCATATGAGAAAAGCCTCTTGAGCCTCATCTACTTTGTACATCTCAGTTTAATTTACCAATCAAATGACTCGACAAACAAATACTACCAACTGCAAGACAACCTCCCTGAGTCATACAATGGTAAATATCATAGTTTAGTCTCTAGCCTTGGGGAAAGCAAAACATCCATGGGTCTAGCCCGGACATGCCGTCCTCGTCGTGGTTTTACTGAAGATCTAGCTGGGATCCGAGAATTAATCTCTTGTCATTGTAGAAGAGTTTATTTTAGAAATTTTGATCGTTAGTAACGCTGATGCTCATGCTGATGCTGATGCTGACGATTATGAGCTTACACGTCTCGAAGAAAGTCGGGCCTTGTCTAACCATGAACGCTCTCTCATTAACTTCTACTCGATGCTAGTGCTTCGTGGCCTGGCACTTGTTTGTCTCGTCGTTCTCCTCAAGTAACGCTCCTACCTTGCGTTATGATTGATAGTCGCCGACGCGAAGATGTGGCATGAGACCCTTGTTCAGGGTGCGCGGCTCCTTCCATCAAGGGAATTAATCATCCCTTTGCACCGATTACGAGCCTTGGACTAGTAGATCCAGCGAGTGGGGATTAATGCAACTGCGTATTTGCGTGCATTTGAATATGCAATGAGGCTCGTGCGCGGGTGGACGGGCTAAGGACAGGAAGTTATTTTTGCATCGCCGCACAGCCCTCAAGTTTGTGTGTACATCATGTTAAGAGGAAACCAACATCATACTAGTGAGTTGTGAAGGAAGTCTCCATGGAATCTGATGCAACATATAGTTTCTAATGTCACTTAGTCTGGAAAGAGAATACAAGGTCTACTGAATGCCGTACTATTCGAAACTTTTCCGTCCACAAAAACACTTAGCTCTTATAAAATATTGAACTATCGTACAACAAACTCATAGACTGGATCAAAAGGCATATAATTAAGTCCAGGAACTGGAGTTTGATTTTCATGAAATCTAAGGAATCTCGCAGGCACAGACACACTTTTGTTCATTGCCGTGATGATCAAGAGTTGGTAGGCAGCTGCGCAGGACCTCACTCCAAATTGGAGAAAATTGAAGCATTGGCTCCGCATTGTTCTACATTTTAATCCATTTCTTTGTTCACAGTCGCAACGTGATTATCTACAATTCGTCTGGGGTAACGGTTCGGGATGCAGTCAAATACGTGGTCCAAGCAATCAATTTGTACATGTGCACAATCAGTGACCCGACAGCACAGACAAACTAGTTGTGGTAATCTATGAGCCTGAGCGTGAACACAAGCAGATGGGATCAGAAGCTTCGGTACGGGAAGAAAAGAATGTTCTGATGATCTTCTAACAGGTTAACGCCGGCAAAGACGAATTCTTCACCTTCCAGTTGTGTCGGTGTAATCGCTCAATATGCTCTACATATCTGGGATAGCCAAGAAGAATCGCATCCAAATCGAAGTCGAAAGCATTCACAAGCACATCTAAAATCGACGACTCATCGTCAACGTTGGACCTATCATTCTCACGCGAGTCCTCCACCTCAATCTTACTACACCACCTCGCCTCATATACCGATAATGGCGTTACTCCAGTTGCAATTGGGCATTTGTCTCATCAAAAACCGGTCATCTCCCACTACACACTTACGATGCTATGTATACCCGCGAGGAAGAAATTAAGTCATAATCTACAAAGCTCGGGTCTTGGTCTATGGGGGACCGTTGCTCTAATTGGGCTTCACATCTTGAGGGAGGACAGGCAACTGGGATGTGGGACGCACATTGTTAGAGTATTTTCGACTTAAGGGTGTCTGTAGGCGCAGAGGCAACGATATAGGATAGTGCAACCGACACTCTAAATATAGGCAACGATGGAAGGTGTTTTGGTCCGCCTCCTGGTTGTCATCTCCCCGAATTAAAGTCTGGGTAGCCTGGACACCTACCTCACTCGAGAGAGGGAGGACTGTGAGGTCAAATCTCGCGCGGCGGCTCTATACAAGATGGCAAAGGCATGTTAGGGTAGCCAAAGGTTTTTTTCCTGTTTTCCCTCTAGTGGATGTTAACGGTTGAGGGAAGGATGAAAGTCCCTAGCACCAAGGTCTCGAGTGGTATCAGCGGATGCACCTACTACCTGAGTAATGGTCGTATATAGTCGTCGGGGAAGGAATAGCATTCTCCGTGTCATGCTCTCTGAGTGCAGGGCTTCTGCCCGTCACCAATAAACTTTCATCATCATCTTCCAACAAGCTAACGGCTATGCGTAAGGAAAAAAAGAAGCTGTCACATTTCAGAATTTTCTTCGTTCACAGCAAGAGAAAATTACTGCCCAACTTTTGAAGAACGAGGAATGTGATCTCAAGGGCGTTGGGAGACATCAGCGTTGATTTTCTAGTCGGTATTCGAGCAGTTTATTGTAGGACATGTTATGTTAAAACCTCATCAGGAATGTATTTGTAACACTCTGAATATTATTGCAATTAAATTTTGTCCCGTCTAACTATTCGGCGTAGAACTGTCTGCCTAATAACAGAAACTACAGCCGTGGAGGGCGAGACTGAACACCTGTACGCGGTGCGTTCAATGAACGTGGGAGTGAAATATTCTCCCAGAGCCAAGTTCAGTTAAATTTCGCAATATCAAAGAAATTGGCCCACAAGGCAATAATCAAATTACTCCTCCGCGTCGTTTTTTCGCTCCCAACGAGTTTGACTTCTACCTAAATCTCATCAAGTCTACAAGCACGACAAATTACATCCTTATTCTAATGACCACACCTCTTGTCGACGATTCTCTGGCCTCAGCTTGACGCCAAATACACGCACACGCCTACGTTTACACCCGACGGAGGAAGCAAAGCGTGGCGCACAAATCTGGGAGACGGCTCTTTGGGACGGACGTGAGAGGAATCAGGAAAAGTTGACAAGATGATGTAAAGGAAGAATTAAAACTCGATGGGCTTGAAATTCGGAATTTTGGCACGGAGATTTACGAATTGAGCTTTATGCGCGTCGAGACTTAGCTTGCGAGCGTGCAACTGACACTATAAATAAAAGTCAACGATGAGTGGCTTTTCTCAACACCTGTTAGTGGTATCCCCTACGAACCTCCAGCTCTCACTGTAGAGTCTGCAGAGCCGAGATTGAGGAATAAAGTCCTCACTTCGACGAGGATTCCCAATCGCTTTCGTGGTCTGTATCGTCTTCATCTCTCAACACATTCCCCTATCACCATTATCATGAAGCTAACCACGATCAGATTAGATGGTAGGGTCGGAGCTCTACTCATCACCAAACCTTGATCACGGAGGAAAAGCCATCCGATGAGTTTCCGGAGCGTACCCAGCACCTGATACGGAGATGGCGGATTGGATCAAGTCGGCCTCGACTGTTACAAAGAAGGGAGATGTAGATGAATATGCGCACCTCATGTGGTCCCGGTGTCTAGGCCTCGCCTGGCTGGGGCTGCAGGTTTTTTGAGACTTTTTCCTGCGCACGCAGTTTCCATTGCTACCATTTTTTTTTTTTGGGTAGAAGGTTCCGTGGAAAAGGTGGCTGAATTCCACGGGTAAATACTGAGCTGAATGGCTATTCATCAAGGGGAATATATCAATGATCTTTCAAGTAACAAAAGAGGATAGGAGCACTGTACAAGGTGTGGCCTGGGTCAGAGAGGAGCCCAATGTGCTAGATAGTCATAGACTCAAGTATTACAATAAAAACACACATAAGTCAACGATGGTAGGTGCCGTAGTCCGCCTCCTGGTAGTCTTCTCCGGTAATGTCTGAGTAGCCTGGGCACCTATTCTACTTGGGAAGGAGACATCTCAGATAACATTTCGCGCTGAGAAAAGTTAATGGATGACGGAGGCATGTCTGGATAACTCATGGATTTTGAGAAGTTTCCCTGGCTGGGTATTCAGAGATGAAGCTTGACACGGGGTGAAGAAAAAGCCGCCATAACTTCGCAGTGGTACTTGCAAATGGAATCGGGGGCATGAGTGGTCCGGTTATAATCGAGTCATCTTCTGTGCACTTTTCCTCCGATATTGCGTCATAGCTAGATTGCTGGAAATATTTCAATGATCTTTCAAAGATTACGAGAGGCAGCAAGTATTGTACAAGTTGTGGCCTAGGTCAGAAAAGAGCGCAATGTGCTAGATAGTCATTGACTCAAGTAGTATAGTATCAAATCTTATACAGTACATAGAGCGCCAGATAGCTGCAAACGCAATTAAAATCTGATACAAAGAGAAGATACGTAATAGTTGGGACCCATGCGACCAATTCATTCATTCATTACAATCACTCACTGTGATGGGAATTCAGATTTACTGTTCACAATTATGGGTCCAAAAATGATTTTATATCTTATCTGTAGAAAAGGGTACTTACGACGCGCGCACGATATGCTTTCTTCCCAACGAGCGCGCTTTTGTTCGTAGCCGGAGCAAGATAGTTACGGATCCACATATAAGGCTACAGATTGTAACACTCACAATCACCATGTCCCCTCAGGATGAGAGCTGCAGCGACAACTGTAGTCTGGTAGATCTTAAAAATAATTAAATTATTAGATATGAGAGGAATCGGGGCCGTCAGGTAGGCCATGTAGCTGATATACACGTGACTGCAAGTTATCAACTTAGCTTCACTTCGGCAATTACTTGAATTGATGCGCTCTACGACCTCAATGACTGAGGGGTAATTATGTCCTTGATGTAAGTAAAGAAAACCATGGACACATTGCACGCTCGGAAACCTCGCAGAGTCGCTAAATGCGACTCCTTTGAACTGCAGGAATTGAAAGAGTTTCGCTCATAGCATGCATCGGAGGTAAACAATCTCTAACAATGGGGATCTTGAATTATGATAACAGTCCCACACCATGGGGGTGTGATTTCTGATTCTCTCGTCTCACAATCACGGCCTCTCTCGAAACAGTTTAGCTTCCACTGGAGATCAACATTCACGACAGAAATCGCGCCTCTGCCTGCCCAGACTGAGAAGCCACCGCAATCATCGTAGTGTCCGGTTGCTTCTGAAGGGTTCTTTTAATGAGAAGCAGTTAGCATTGTTTGTCTTCAGTCCTATCCTTAAATGGACCAACTAATCCATTAGCACGTGATTCAGGAAATCGCAAATTTTTGGTCGCAAGAAGCCCAAGTTGCTGCTTGATCTCTTGTTCTATTTCAAGATTGCTTTTGTTCTCAAGTCGTTGTTGACCGGATGATGGTGACCCAGTTGCAGGGCCGGCTGACTCCAGTGCAGACCTAATCCTGTCAATCTCGGCAATATGGTTGGACAAGAAGTCGATGATATAGTGATAGTCGTTGTCGTCGTGCAACGATCGCTTTATCGGGTCCCAAATAGTGCTCTGCTTGCTCTTCTGGAATACATTTAAATGGCCCTGATACCAAGCTAGCACGCCTTGCAAACCTTGGCTTTCCGTTGGCAGAAGAACTTTACCGTCCAGTACCACATCGGACATTGCAAATAGATTATAAATGAAAATTATCCCAAGGAATTGCCTTCCAGGCGTGAGGGCTACATCTTGGAGATTTTTGATATTGAAGTTTCCCTGAAAAGCCAAACTGTAAATTACACTCTTACTGCAATCCTCTATGTGCAGGAGCCTACGAATATAGATGCCCTCACCACTCGATAGATTTTTGAGTTTATCCTTGGCAAGTTGGAGACAATTTCGTTCTTTCGAAATATCCTGGTGAAAGCCAAACTTAGATCTATCTTCCAGATGTCTCGTGTTTTGCGTAATATAACTCCCTAAACTTCCCAGACTTAGTGATGGAGAGCAATAGATTGCCATGTATGTGCCGGGCCCGTTGGTCGCACTCCCAGCCACCATTATCTCGCCGCCAAAATCGACCTTTCGGAACTGTCGTCTTCCTTCCGGGTCGTAAATTTCATAATACCCATTATTCCGGTCGAGACTCATGACGGCCAGGCGGTCATTAGGTCGTGCTTGATCTCCAGCTAGCAAAAGAATGGCGAGTAGGCAGTGCATTGATGCTAATTCTGTTTTAACTTTTCAGTATGTGTCGTTTTTCACTCAAACTATTGGTAACCCACTCAATAACTATAGACTTGGGGGCAACTTGTGTTGTCTACGTCGCTCTTTTGGTGGGAGAAGGAAATGAGCGTGGGGTATCCTGTAATATAAATGGATTGGTTAATTGCGACGTTCATTGGAAAGTTCATATATACAGCGACGGGTCAAAGGTAGAGATAAACTGCTCATTAGACCATTATCACTTCTTGGGGCTACACGAGTCATGATGAATGGTGTGGCATATTCCCTTGCAATTCTATTTCTCCAAGGTTTTGTCAATGGGCTAAGAGTTTTATATCTTGGATAGAGTGCTTTAATTTAAATCTACAAAACAGCTGCTATCTAGCTTTAATATCCGAGTAAACAGCGAAGCAAGCCGATATCTTCTCGACGACGTTCAGTTCAGTTGGTGAAGCGGAAGTTGAGTGGGGGTCCCTTGCTGACGAGCGAGCCATTATTATTTGAATTTGATTTCATTAACCTGATTTGGCGCCCAATGGGCCCATGCAGGTGGCTATAAACTCTACTTATAGTTATTTTATATGAGGGGAAAACCTTCCGATAAAAACCCCCTTCTCCTTCAAATTATTACTGTGGTTCTTCATTAGCCTACAGGAAGTGCTATATGCCGTTAGTCCGAGACTGGACTAGCTGAAGTTGTAGGTGACCTCACCATCCTTTCCCTGCCCTCGCGCGCCGAAAATTGATGACTGTGGTCTTGAGTTCGACCCCGATGGCGCGAATTGTTGTGTAGATGGGCCTATGGCCACGGGATGTTTTCGCGGGCGCCCCGGCCCTCTCTTGCCGACCTCTGCCTTCTGATTGGACACCAGTTTAAATCCTTAGTTGTCTACTTATTTTGCCACTGTTGTTGATGTAATGGCCGCTGGTAAGTTATCCTCTCTTCTTAGGTCTGCCGTTCTCTCCAAAAGCCCATACCGTGCCCTCTAGACACTTGCCTTGTATGGCGCGAAGTCTGGACACGCCCCCTTCTGCCACGATTCATGGACTTTGCCGCAGTTGCAGCAAAGCACCGACTTCCTCGGGCAGTCTCTGGTCTGGTGAGAGCCCGCGCACTCACCACATCTTTTTGCCTTATTGCACGAAGCTTGAGTATGCCCCCATTGGCTGCATTTAAAGCACTGCTTAACCTGTGCCCGGGGTGACCAGAGCTGGACCGTGTACAGCATTGATTTGAGTACAATGCTGCTTCAAAACACGTCGCGTTGAAGAGCCTCTGTCGGCAGGCTTGCGATCACCGACCCTCGAGTATGGCCATACTTGTTCATCCATAGGTGCTCCTTCCCGTCGTACAGCCACCTTAGTCTGTTAATTTGGATTCCGGAAATCTGAACTTTTGTCTCTGTATTGATTTGGTAAATCATGCTGCCATTATCGGCGTTTTTCCCCCTTGGATCATTGTCCCCAAAGGGACTCCCAAAATTTCAACAGGATAATCCTGCTTTACGACGCAGAACTCCTTTAGCTGCGCCATATTCAAGGCAGCGCCTCACTGTGAGGTCTATTGCAGGAACACCTCAGTGTCGTTACTCCTTAACTGCCTTACGGCGTATGCCCCCTCGATATGCATTTTTGCCTTATTTCGCAGCTCTGCCGGCTGCATTTTGTCTGCCCCTTCTACTCGTATTCTTACTGCCGCTTTAGTCGCTGGAGGTGCGACGACTGAGGCGTGAGTGGGTCGATCTCCCATTCCTTGTGTCGACTGAGGAGTCATCTTGCGCACTGGCTCCTCGAGGCTCTTCTTTATTGCCTTCTCCAAGGCCAGCATCCTTCCTTCCATTGGTGTCGCTTTCATTGTCGATTGTAATGACAATGCGTGCGACTTTAGGGCGTCAATAGCCCCATCTACCTCTGCCATCGGTGTCGCAATTGGGTTAGTACCTGCTATAACCAGTCTATCGCAAACCTTGTTTAAATAATACCCTATGGATTTCTGGTTATCCATGTTATCGCCTGTAGATGTCGCGAGAGAATCTACGGCCATAATTGCGGCTGTTCCGCTGTCCGTGGGTGGTTTGGGTGGTGCCGTGAAAATTATTCCAGCCGTGAGAAGCACATTTTTGGTTCCCCAATCCGCCATGCCGAAGCGCAGCGTGAGAAAATCGGGGAATCGGATAATATGGGTCAATTAAGATAGTAGCAATTAATGAAACGATGAAATAACGTTCGTGGAACGTTGTGTCGCTTTTGACCAAATGATGATGAGCCATTATTATATTTAATTCATTTTATTGTCCTCTCTGAGTCTATGACTATGTAGGACATGCAGGTCCTCTCTGCCTACAGGCCAAAGATACCTACTCCAGCACTATATCCCCTCCTATGCCTTCCATACAGCTCCCCTCAACAGTACCACCCCTCACAAGTCCTCCTTCGATCATACACTTAGGAGTCCTTTGCCCTCTATTATCTCCCCTCTCCAGCCAACGAAACGACGGCTATTTGCGGGTGTATGACAGCCGGGAAATATCGCAAAAACCACTGGGTGCGTGGCTCTTCGAATACCCACATTAGGGCTAAATCCGAAGACATAGTGATACTTCTGAAGCGTTCGAAGAGGCCAGCCAGCTGCAGACTTGTGGGTACCTCGGAGGATTCATCCTCTGCCTTTCTAGCCTCCTTCCAACTCCTTCCCGAAGGTCGTGCTGAAATGTCAGAAAAGTCTTGATAGAGTGTGATTGCTGTACGGTAGCTTAGCCCAACTTCTTTCGTGCTGTCCAGGGCGCTGGGGAGTGCCGTTGACTCATCGACAGAAGAAGCGCTCCTGGCTAATTTACCGAAATCTCGGTCTTGGCGCCCACAAAAAATCCAAAGTTGAAAACTCCTCGAAAATATGGGTCCCAGCATGATCTTCAGGGCCCTATTCCCTCTCTCGCTCCACTTCTCAGCCGCCTGTCTCCCCTACAGATGTATTACCCCATTAGAGCATCAGTCTCCAATGAACCAAACCCTTAACTTTGTATGTTATGACTTAATCTGCTCCTTGCGGGTATATGTAGCGTCGTAAATTTGTAGTGAGTGATGGCCGGCAATGAACGAGGCAAGCTCCTGTTTGCAATTGGGGTGACACCTTTATCGGTCCTCGACGTAAGATAATATTTGGTTAGATTGAGATAAAGGACTCGCGTGAGAATGATCGGTCCGATATTATGAGAAGCTATCGATTCTAGATATGAGATTTCTTTCGACCTCGATTCGCTTGAGATTTTTCTTGGCTATCTCAACAATGCAGAGTATACTGAGCGAGTTCACCGGAACTACTGGAAGGTGTATAATTCGCCTTTGCTGCAACTACGCTGCGGAAGCTTTGGCTATTACCCAATTTAAAACATAGGAAATCCGTCAAATACTGAGTGACCTGACCGGTACTGGCATCGGAATTGTATGGTTTAATCAATAGCGTCGATACTACTATAGCTACAACCACAGCCTAAGGGATGACTACTGAATGCTTGGATAACCAAAGGTTTTGGAATTCCCTTTGGTGGGTACTTACGGAGGACGGTCGACTGTGTAAGCGAACATACCTCATAGTGGTATTTGCAAATGAAATCCAGAGTATGAGCGTCTCTAACGTCAAAAGAGTCATCCAACATGTATACATAGCTCCGGTCATGTGTCATAGCTCTATAGCTGAGTACACATTAAATGATTTAAAAAAAAGATGACCAGTGAACAGGTGGTAACTTGTCTTGTCTTGTTCATTTACGTGCTAAGTAAAGTGATTCCCGTTGAACTCCTACTGGAGCTTAAGCACGGGTAGGTCCGGGCTGGATCAGGTCAACTACCATTAAGTACATCTACCTCGTCCTACCTAAATGACCGGACCACCTCAGATTTCGCCCATGTGTTAAATCATGTCAAGCCCAACCGTCCAGAGAACCCCCTTTTGGCGCGCCGAAGCGCAAATTCCTCCTCAGCCTCGGCCACCACGCACCCGAGCCCTTGACACCTCCGCGATCTGTAACTTTTCCCTTCGCTCCATTCCCAGCTTTTGCTTATCTCAGCATCTCCTCATCTCATCCAGGGGTCGTTTTCTTCACTGAAGGCCTCATCCAGTCGCCCACCAAGGCCTCCTCAGTTTGTATTCCCTTTTGATTCCTTCATGCAGCATCCCTCTGTCCTTCAGTCAATCTCGTCATCCCAGAAACTTTGTAGAATGTTCACCCCTCCGGCCTTGCCCCGTCGCTGCTGTACCCCTAACCGTGGAGGTCGAAAACGCGACTGAGAGCTCAAGACCGAGGCACCGGTGCCCCAGCCTTTATCGAACGCTCGAGTTGGTGTGCCGGCGAAATGTCGTACGTATTTCGTCGGTGGCGATTCGTCGCAGGTCGAGTTGTTGGTGCCCTTGGCCGAGGTGAGGACGCATCTAAGGCCGGTATTTCGACCGTAGCTTCACAGCGACTGGTAGTTGTGTAGGGTCGGACATCCTCTTGCTTCTTTAATGGCGATTTGGCTTTTGGAGGTATGAGATTGCTTTGGTAGGTGATGAGATGATTGTGGAGAGGGCAGCGAGATGAGTTTGGCTGGGAATGAATTTCCAGAAAAAAAGAAAATAGGATCTTTCAGGTGTCGGTTGTTGTGATACGAACATCAGACAGCTTATATCCTGTCTGCGGTTCGTATCTGGGGTGTAGATGGTTGATTTCGTTGAGTTGTGCAGTCGTGAAATCTCTGCAAGGCGAGTTTTCGACCAAAAATGAGCCAACACCACTCCTCCCGATCGCCAACTCGACGAAAACTCTCAAATTCACCCTCTGTAGTGACTGAATCTCGGCTCTGGGAGAATATTTCACTCCCAGGTTCGTAGAGGACACCACTGAGAGGTGTTCAGCCTTCGTCCTCCCAGGTGGTAACTTGGAATATTCCTTTGTTATTTTTACTGATTTTTTTGAATTTGATTTCATTTAACACGATTTGGCGCCCTGTGGGCTCATGCAGGCGGCTATGAACCTATCTAAATATTTACATGAGGGGGAAACCATTACGATAAAACCCCCTCCCCCTATTAAATTTTATTTCGTCTATAGTCCTTCGTTACCTAAAGCAAGTGGAATGGCCTTGAATCCGAGATAGGACCAGTTAAAATTGAAATTTACCTTGCCATCTTTTCCCTGCCCTCGCGTGCTGAAAAGTGATGACTGTGGTCTTGAGTTTGACACCGATGGCGCAAATATTTGAGGTGGTGAATTGACCAGTATTTTTACTGATTCTTTCTCTCTTATGTATTTTTTATAAACATAATGATTAACTAGAGAGAACAGATGGATGTTCGATATTATGGCTATACGATAGTAGTACGAGAGTCATGAAGTTTTAGAAATTCGTTGGATAGATGGCGGTGTCAGCCTATTTCATTCAATGACTAAATCGAACCCAAATAAAGCATCAACTTGCACTATCGAGATAAATTGTTAGGAGATACGAATGGAGGGCTGAGTTCAGCAAATTAGAAAAAAATTAAGCTAAGGTAAGGTAATATTTTTAAAGCTGAAATTTTTACCAGTATCGCGATAGATCACTTACATATGTTATAGTTCCGATTCATAATACTCTTGGATAGACACGTAAGTAGATTTGCGACCCTAGTTTTGTGAGTATCATTCCATGGTAGCAAGAGAGATAGATAATTAGTGATATTTGCTTATTCGGTTCGAGCCTCGTACGCCAGTTGGTACCTTCCGAGCGATATATACCAAAAGATTCATGAATTATAGCAAATGAGACATAATTGAAATGCTAGAAGCTCGGTAAGCCAATGTAGCCTTAGAAGCAGAGACTGTCCGTGCTGCCCAAGATCGAAGGAGCTCATTCCAAAGAAAATGGTCATGCGCAGTCGAGAACAATAGTATTCCCTCGCTCCAAGGAGATTGATAACGAGGTGACTCAGCACACTAAATTGCCGTAAATTTTATCTGGTGCTGTGTATTTGAAATATTAAGTGTGGATATGTAGCCTACATTACTCGTTTTTTGTCTTATTGTAAAATCATGTGCTACTGTTTTGGTAAACATAATGACATTTTCTGGTTTAGGATATCAGAAGTAATCAATCACATATTCACACTTATAATACTGAATATGAATTTTCTGAATCTCACTACAGGCAGTTTCCTTATCCAATACCAGATGTAATCATGAAAAAGGCACGGGGCCCTTAGCACTGATTTCAAGCTGATCATAACGCAAATTGTAAAGTCATTTCAGTGAAGACCAAGCTCGCGAACTGCACCTGGTTGTAGAGCACAGAATTGTGATTTCCAGAAGGTATTGAGGCGTTTTCAAGCGCAGCTTCCTGTTATTTTTGGCTTAGGCTGTTAGTTTACAATGACTCCGTCTTGACTGATGAGTGGCCCAGGGAGAATGATCTATAAACAAGGCTATTTGCTGCGTAAGAAGTGCTGGTTCCTCAAATTTCGAAGCCCTCGATCTTTTAGACGGACTCCAAGTAGCCTGACTAATTTTCACTGGGCCATCGACAAGTTCTTACTCGCTAGTCGCTAGTTCCGCACTTGGTTGTAAATTTCACCGAGAAATTGGGTAGTATTCCGTTCAAGCCAATGTCCCATAGACAACTGACTGGTTCAAAGAATGTAGAGAATATTCACTCCTGTCTTAATCATGGGCCAAAGTATCATGAAATGACCGATGTGCACAGTTCCATTCTTTCTTATCTCCCACCAGCGACAACTTGGCTCTTCTTCCATACATTGACAAAATCATTATTCATTTAGCATGGCTCGATTGACATCCTGGACAGTTGTGCGTCGTCTCATGCGAAAAGACGTCACAGTCAATACAAAAAACGTTGTTACAGGCCTCACACAGATACCTTCCGCTCTCACTAATGCCTTTCTTGTCCTTCGATACGCCGCCAGCGTCATCTGGTATTGTTTCCATGACACGAGGTACCTCTGGGAATTTGGTGAGACAAGCGAAGCATTCTTTAGTCCGGTTAGCCTCTGACCATGGCACCTCGACCCAGTTGCGTAATGGGAAGAGATGATGACAGGATCGTGCGAGATGAGTGGATAGAATTAAAGTCAGACCACAGGCTGGGCACTCCGCAGGGAGGCTGCATACTTTACTCTCGCACCGCGAACATAGATAGCCGTGTTGGGTAAGCTTGCTGTGACAGGCGCAAAATGTCGGGGTTTTAGCAGCAGTCGAAATACGAGAAGGAAAACCCATCATAAGGAGGCTTGCTTGAGACTGCCGCTGTGTACGTGTGATTGGTGGGGTGGTGAGGGTCATTATGAGTTCGCGAAAGTGTTGCTCATTGAGGGCAACATTATAATGACCATCATGGCCTTCGTTTGTCTTGGCACAGATCTTGGTGCAAATGGCGAGCGTTGCAGCAAGACCAATTACAGAGACACGAATGCGGTCTGTGATGAGGGAATCAATTGTGTCATGGATATCTCCCGGATCGCTGGAAAGCAAGGCCCCAAATACAATTAATATCTCCCGGGTTCCATGCGATGGCGCATGGAAAAGCGCTGCTCGACTCATTTCGAGGGCATTCTGTAAGCTGGGATTGCCCAGCGGATCTTTGGACCGGAGATTCTTGAGCTTTTCGAGATGCTCGACGGGATTACCGGTCACATCGCTAATCCGCACGGCCAGCCCATCCCGCATGCCGATAATTCCAAGTTGTGAGATGGGATTCTGTTCGTAGTAGGCAATGACAAACTCCGAGGCATAACGGATCATGAGCAGGTATCGTGATGGTCGAAGATCTTTTTCTACCATAGCAAAGGATAGGTCAAGAATTAAAATAAGATGACGAATTATTCCCCGTTGTAGCGGAGTCGTATCTCGCAACAATCTACACGTCATCATCAGAGACATGTCCTGATACGACGGAATTATTCTCACCTCTGTCTCATTCCTGCCTCTCGTAGCCCTTCTACCGCAGAGTCAATACTTCCATCTGCACCTTCCACAACCGTATCCCAGCTTCGCTGAATGTCTTCCCAAGCGGCACGTTTTCGACTTGGCCTGTTCCCTTCACCCGTATCACCTTTGCCTGGCTGCCCAACGGGATTTCTTGCCGGAGTAGGTCCCACGGCACGCGTACCATATCGTGCAGTACGCTGTGAACCTTTCACCTCATCACCAAGATCATCGGCAGTGTAGTCGCCATCTGAGTCAGACATTATTTCCTGAGACTTATTATGCAGCTGCTAGACGGTATAAAAACAAAAGGCCAAGATACATGAAGAGTTTTTCTTGGAGCAAATTATATATCACCCGTCGAAGCCCTTGTCAATGTATAATCTGCTTATCCGATCGTCTCTTCTTTATTTTGATTGTTCATTGATATTTTCTCGAATGCCTAATTTCAATTGGGGTCGGCAAATTTATATTGGTTGACATATGCGGCGAAGAGGCGACTACGCACGCACCTGTATTGTTATCCGCCAAATACGAACTAGTGAAAGTGTGTAAGCTCCATCAGAATTCTAAGTCGCATAATAGAAAATACACAATGTACAATGTGAAGTACTTCAATTGGCTGTGTTCAAGATGTTTGCCACGGGTATGTCAATTCTACTTCACATGTTCACGGTTCGGTCACCATAAAGTAAGATACCTGTAGCGCCGTATTGCTAGCAGTCTTCCTTACACAAGCTGTACAACCAACTGGCAAAAATAATCATTTGGATAGTTGATGCTTCTAAATTCATAAGTTTTATTTAACATGCACACAAGGTATTGATTATATCTCAGGGCTGAATAGATTTATGATCTGAATTTAATTATAGGGCAAGATGTTGAAAATTCTTTATTGGAACAAGTGTATCTGTTAGGGGCTCTGGGCCCGCTAGGCTAATCCCTGTCTAATATCTCATACAAATTTCTCATGTGCGCATCACAGAGCAACCTTTATGTATTAATCCTTTATGAGAAGCAGAATAGACTTTGACTACTTCGTTTGATTGTAAGAACTATGTCCTTATTATGTGACATTTTCCGCATCTCTAAATGAACAAAAAGATAAGAGTCGCTCTGCGATGCACTTGTGAGAAATTTGATAGAGATTTTAGACAGGGGTTAGCCTAGCGGGCCCAGAGCCCGTAACAGGTACCGATTTGGTTCTGCAAGGTTATTAATCCTAGCGAAAAAAACATCATAATAGACATCGAATAGTCGTTTTCCTCGACTCTTCTTCAGTTTATTTAGTTTTCTATCTCATACATCTAAAGTCAGGCGATAACTCAGACGAATCCACAGCTCTGACGGTGCAGGCTTCATAGCCAAGTCTTAGATCAATTTTAGCCTAGGAGACCTTTATTTCCAGTAAGCCAATGGCACTACTTGGTGCCAAAGAAGGCATAACGAATTTGAGACAGGCCATTAGATAGCACATACTTTCTGTCAAGACTTTTCTGACATTTCAATGCGACCTCTGGGAAAGAGATGGAGGGGGGCTAGAGAGATAGAGTGTGGCTTCCTTAGGTGCTAAAAAATCTGCAGCACCCAGCTGACCTGTCTCTTCGAACGCTTCCAAATAGTGACCACGTATTCATATTAGTCCTGATCTTGATAGCAGAAGAGCTTCTAACTGGCGATTTATGAGATATTTCCCTACAGCTACACATCCGTAGATACTCATCGCTTCGTTAAGTGTATAGGGGAGACAATAACGGGATAACGGGTCCCGTGAGAGCTAGCTCAATTAAATACCTGTCCGAGTATTAGTGCCTGAGAGAGGCCGTGAAGGAGGCATAGGAGGGAGCACAATACACGGGGCATAAGTACAGTGATACCTCAAGGCTCCTCCTTATCACCGATATTATTTTTCTTCTTCGTCGGCACACTCCTTCCGCTGCTCAACACGAGCTTTTCCTCAGCCGTAGGATCTGTAGATGATACAAATATCCTGACATGGTCACGATCAACCGAGGAAAACTGCCGAGAGTTGGAGAAGAAACATAAAGTCTGCGAGCAGTGGGCAAAAAGTGTTACGGCTGGTTTACGAAGAGATAGCCGTCTTCGAGATTGGGAACGGGCAGAAGTTGCATGAGGGTGTATCAGAACGGACGAGGACAAGAATAGCTTGTGGAATGATAATAATGATAATAATAATACAGATTGCAACTACAGCAGATCCTGAAACTTGGAAAGCGGCTAAGTTCTATCAATGCCGACATTCTGGACGTCAAAGAATAAGTTTCCAGAAAACTCCTCTTACTCTCCATAAAAACCTGACGAGGGCCCAAAGTAGCTTATCAATCCAAATTCGAAGCGAGCATATCAGGCTCAATTCGTATTTGCATAGAAGAAATGTACCAGGAGTCTACGATCCACACTGTCCGTGTGGCTACCAATCACAAAATCCCAAGCACATGAGCATGTCCTGCGCCCGATGGTCAATCGGTAGGGGTGAGATCTGGAGACAAGACAAAGACTGGTCCTACGAAGCAATGATAGACAATCCTGGTGATATTAAAAGAATTACGCAATGAATCCTTAGTCATGGCTGGATAGATCCATTCCGCATGACAAATGCAGTCGAAATGCTGCTCAGGGAACGAGATGGAACATGTAGAAGGTTAGGGTCGATAGAAGGGATGTGATTAGTACACCTCGACGGCGTTACAGTGTAACTGTGCTCCCTGAAGGATAAATTGCAGACTACAAGAATTAAATCAGAAAGCTTGGGGGGTTTTCACCGAGAGGTTTCCTTCTATGTAAATAAATAGGTAGGTTTATAGCGACCTGCATGGGCCAATAGGGCGCCAAATCAGGATAATGAATACAAATCAATACAGATTGCAAAACTACAGAAATAAAGCTACATCTTACACCTAAGTACAGGGGGACTATTCTCAATACCTGTCAGTGGTGTCCCCTACGAACCTCCAGCTCTCACTGTAGAGTCTGCAGAGCCGAGATTGAGGAATAAAGTCCTCACTTCGACGAGAATTCCCGATCGCTTTCGCCGTCCGTATCGTCTTCATCTCTCAACACAACCAACTAACCATTATGATGAAGCTAACACGATCAGATCAGATGGCAGGGTCGGAGCCCTACTCATCACCAACCCTTGATCATGGAGGAAAAGCCATCCGATGAGTTTCCGGAGTGTACCCAGCACCCGATATGGAGATGGCGGATTGGATCAAGTCGACCTCGACTGTTACAAAGAAGGGAGATGTAGATGAATATGCGCACCTCGTAGGGTCTCGGTGTCTTGGCCTCGCCTGGCTGGGACTGCAGGTTTTTTGAGGCTTTTTCCCGCGCACGCAGTTTCCATAGCTACCATTTTTTTTGGGGGGTAGAAGTTTCCGTGGAAAAGGTGGCTGAATTCCACGGGTAAACACTGAGCTGAGTGGCTATTCATCAAGGGGGATATGTCAAGGATCTTTCAAGTAACAATAGAGGATAGGAGCACTGTACAAGGTGTGGCCTGGGTCAGAGAGGAGCCCAATGTGCAAGATAGTCATAGACTCAAGTAGCACAAGAAACACACACACCTAAGTACAACTGTACAACCTAGCGTGACTCGACTAAATGTTGGCGCCTGATATGATAGGACCTCCACACTCCGGGCCAGTGTTTATGGCACAGTGGTATAGCCACGATAAGCCATAAAACTGAGTAGTAGTCAAACTGAGCCGTAACAAAAAGCATAAGGTTAGATTTGCGCCCGACAAGTATGAGCTGATGCACTTCTCACGAGCAAGGAAATGACATAGTCTCAAAGCAACGATTGAAATATAGGGTCCCACAACAGTTCCACGGCCTTCCCTCCAGGTGGGCAATACTGAACACCTGTACGCGGTGTCCTCTACGAACCTGGCAGTGAAATATTCTCCCAGTGCCAAGTTCAGTCAAATTTCGCAAAACCAAACAAGTTGGCCCTCGAGACAATGATTCAAATAACTCCACCACGTCAAATTTTCATTCCAAAAAAGATCGAATCCTACCTAAGCCTCATCAAGTCTACAAGTACGACCTAGTACATCCTCATTCCAATGATCACACCTCTTGTCGACTTTCTCTGGCCTCAGCCGGTCACCAAATACACGCCCACGCCGATATTTATACCCGACGGAGGAAGCAAAGCGTGGAGCACAAATCTGGGAGACTGTTCTTTGAGATGGACGTGGGATGAATCAGGACAAGTTAATAAGATGATGCGAAAGATGGATGCAGTCTCGACGGGCGTGGAATTTGGAAATTTGGAAAGGAGCTTTTACAAATTGAGCTTTGTGCGTGCCAAGTCTTCGGTTGCGAGAGTGCAGGCGACACTATAAACATCGCCATGGCTGGATGGTGCAGTGGTACATCGTCTCAGCCAGTCTGCCAAGTAGAGTCTGGATAGCTTGGACACACATCCCACTCGAGACAGTAGATCGCTGGTTCAAATCCGGCAAAACACAACCACATCTTTCGCGGCGCTGGTATACATGGATGACGAAGGCATGCTTGGATAATCAAAGGTTTTGGAATTCCCTTTGGTGGGTACTTACGGAGGACGGTCGACTGTGTAAGCGAACATACCTCATAGTGGTATTTGCAAATGAAATCCAGAGTATGAGCGTCTCTAACGTCAAAAGAGTCATCCAACATGTATACATAGCTCCGGTCATGTGTCATAGCTCTATAGCTGAATACACATTAAATGATTTAAAAAAAATCCGAAGCTAATTGTGGGAGATGTGGTTGATCGGGTTAGTTGTGATGCTGATCGTGAAATAGAACATAGACTACCTATATTCTCCAACATGGCCCATGTCATCGTCTACGTCCTACCTCCCGACTTACTGCCCACAGCATGCCTAGCTAAAATTCAACTGCTCATGAATCTGTTATTCATGAGGGCCTTCCGCTGTTCCAACGGCTAGCGCTTGCCCTCCAAACACGCGCTGCTGCACTACCTCAATCACTTACGAGCAATGTTCCGACTGAGCGATTCTGAGCCCACTGTTCAGGAGCGACAGCAGTTATATCCCTGGCTAGTGTCTGCGGTTTGTACACATACTACAGCACGACTTCAATCATTGCCATAAAATGTCTCCACTCTGCGCTCATGAGTTCACTACTCAGGAGCGGAAGCAGCTGTACCCATGGTCAGCACGCGGCATGCATTGATTGGCGATATAACAACAGATGGAGCTTTAGTTGCAACTCATGCCCAGTAGACACGAAAATAATCAAGTCTGGAGCTAGTTATAAGGAGGTTTCGGCCACCGCCCGTTTTCTGAACAAATTTTCCTTTCTACGAGAATATAAATATAAGTCTTATCACGCAAACATGCGCGACAGCGATTAACGAGACCTACTGTGAGCAAAACTCTCCCAATAGCATCCATCGTCCTGCTCCTATGTAGCCTAGTTAATGTAACATGATCCCTGTAGATTTATATCTATAAGCATACACATTTTTAAGCTAGGAATATAAAATTAAATACATGTGTGGCGGGTGATAGGTCTGAGTGTCCCATGATCTGCATTTGAAACACAGTCATCTATACATCTTTTAATAGTCATAGACTTCAATAGAATGTAGATCAAAAAATACCGTCATCCACGGGAATGCTAGTGTGAGATAAATAATATTACCTGTTGAACTTCTAGTGCGGAATGCACAAATAACAATAACATAGGACTTGGAATTGCTAGCATATTCAACCCGGCCTACAAATAAGTCATTCCTGACCTTCCAAGTCAGATTTAATTTCAACAACTAGGTCTACTACATCTCCCATAGCTGATCATGACACTGCCGCAGTCGAGACGTAGTTTCCGAAACTTCCATGGTGCATACTAGTTTTTGAATCACTTGCGCAGAATTTATGCAAAACATTCAAGATTCCGGAACCTAACACTGTAACTAGATTATTGCAATATAATTTTACGGAAAAGTTTTCCCATGCTTCGGAGTTTAAATCGTAGCTACCCTCTTAGAATGCCGGAAACTGCTAACAAGCAACATCTAGAAGAAAAACGGCTACCCAACTGAGTAAAATTAAGAATTAATTATCGGTAAATGGATTAGATTTGGGTAGTATGAATTGTTTTATATAATTGCAGTATTCAGGTTGTCGTTAGGACACTGACAGGGATCTGACTTAGCCCATTAGCGAGGCGCTTGGAGATAGTGGAGAAGAGAGCGACAACGTTTTATGTATTTCGAGATACCAGTTAATTAACTTTACTCACCGACTTCGTGACGGCACCCAATTTGTATTACTTCGTGCTTTACCAACAGTAATCCTTGATCCTGGCGTAGTCTGGGTATGAGGTATTCCACCGTTTGTATTAAAATTTACTATTAATACTAGTAATACTTTGAATATTTATCCACCTCTGTATTTAAAAAGCCCTTTGCAGGTGTCTCAGCAAACTTCAAATTATGATCACCTAGTTTACTGAGAAGTTCTTTGAACTTGTACTGTCTTGCGGATGCTTTGCTGGTGCCAGAATGTCGATTTCTTCCTGGGATTAAATCTGGCATATATTTACCCATATTTAATTCAGTTCTGATTAGGCCAATCTCGAGAAGTGAATTGATTAGGATGGGAAGGATATGCTTAAAATCTTCCGAATCTTGCTTTAAGTTGTTTGTTGGATGCCATACGAGAGAGCCATTCTTTCTCGCAAATAGTTTCAAGTTGCCCTGATGCCATGCTAGCCCAAATTGCACACTTGCCGTACCCTGAGTCATGAGAAAGCTTCTTTTTAGCACCACACTTTCCATTTTAAATAATTCTGTAAACAATACTTTCCCGGAGTATTTGGATTGTGGCGCATTTGTCAACATATCAGGGGTGACGCATGAAATTCTACCCTGAAACTGCAGACTGTAAAGCATACTTTGAGTACATTGATCATTCTTGACAAGATCATTAGCAAGGATAGAAAATTGACTGCCTGCATTATTCAGTTCGGTTTGAACATGATTGTAGCATCCTAGCTCTGATTCCTGATCTTGTTGGAAGCCTTTTTGTGGACCATTAGGTAGCCGCGTTGCGCCTGCGGTGATAAAATTACTCAAAGCTGTTATCGTCTGTGAGGGTGAGCAATATATCGTAATGTATGTGCCAGCTCCGTTGGTCGGGCTCCGGGCCATCATTATGTCATCGCTAGATCGAACGCTGTTAAACTGGCGCATTCCCTCTGGATTGTACATTTCATGGAGATTGTTATCTGTCCCCAAACTAACGATAGCTAGACGATCATTTACTTGTGAGGTTTGATCTGTCAACAAAAGAATGGCGAGTAGACAGTTCATTGTCAGACTCTTCTGTTGTGCAGTAGTATGCCACTATCACAATGTGGGCTCACCGAAAGAAAGTGGTCTTGGGCGGGTGTTTGTGCTACTGTCTCGATCTTTCTAGCCAGGAATTGAATGTGGGCGATGAATATTCTTGACTGTGATAGCTGCGCGTGGAGTCTATGTGAACCAAGAAAGAATTTGTGAGGTTTGCAACGGCTTATGAAGTACTATCGAGATTGTTTATGGATTTATCGGAATTGGAGCTTCACGAGTGTATGATTTTTTAGAATTATTCACGAGTCATGTGCAAGCCTATATCCAATAGGAATGATACAATATAATAATTTTCTATATCACCATCAGTGAACACTCGCAAATTGGATCGCCTTGGCTGTTATCACTACCTAGGTAAGCAGGGACCTGCGTCCCACCATTTATTTCAGGGTGATAGTGCAGATGGTCGTGTACGCTTGGTATCTTTAATTGAATGGTGGTGTCTGTTCAGGGGGGGCTTGGAGTATACTTGGGTAATTTCGGCAACAATTTGATGGGATGCGAATGGTATCTTATTTGCCTGATGCTCTGCTACAGATTATTTTCATGATATTCAACCAATCCCATAAACAATCCTGGAGACATCAAAAGGTTGACACGGTGGATCCCAAATCATGGTTGGATATAGCAATTCCAGATGACAGAGGCGGTCGAAATGCTACTGAGGGAAAGGAACAGGTCAAGTAATGCTTATGGTGGTCAGGGATGATCTGATTGGTTTACATGGATGGCATTATAGTGTAACTGCGCTTCCTGAAGAAAATTTGTGAGAACTGTAGACAACAAATAGAAAGATGTGGGAGGTTTTCACCATAGAGGTTTCCTCTCGTGCAAATATTGCAGATTGTAGACACCTGCATGGGCCCATAGGACGTCAAACCAGGAAAATGATATTAAAATCCACCAATCCCACATACTTGTGGATGGCGTCGTGGGGGACTATTCTCAACACCTGTCAGTGGTGTCCCCTACGAACCTCCAGCTCTCACTGTAGAGTCTGCAGAGCCGATGTTGAGTAACAAAGTCCTCACTTCGACGAGGATCCTCAATCGCTTTCGCCGTCTGTATCGTCTTCATCTCCCAACACATTCCCCTATCACCATTATCGTGAACCTAACCACGATCAGGTTAGATGGTGTGGTTGGAGCTCTACCATAACCAACCCTTGATCATGGAGGAAAAGCCATCCGATGAGTTTCCGGAGCGTACCCAGCACCCGAGACAGAGATGGTGGATTGGATCGAGTCGGTCTAAATATTGCAAAGAAGGGAGACAGATGAATATGCGCACCTCATGCGGTCCCGGTGTCTAGGACTTGCCTGGCTGGGGCTGCAGGTTTTTTGAGACTTTTTAATTTTTTGGATAGAGGGCTCTATGGTAAAGGTGGCTGAATTACATGGATAGATACTGAGCTGAGTGGCTATTCGTCAAGGGCAATATATTAATGATCTTCCAAGTAACAAAAGAGGCAAGGAGCACTGTACAAGGTGTGGCCTGGTGCTGGGCAGTCAATGATTCAAATTGTTAAATGTCAAAGTGTGTCTGGTTGGTGTAAGAGCTAGCCGAGATAGTCGAGGTCAAACTTAGAAGTCGCGTCAACAACGCTACTCATACAGGTCAGTCGCGTGGAGAAAGTTTGTACTTAGTTGTTTTAGTCCATCTCACTCTTGTGAATACAATACTATCGCTTCTCATTCTATCTGACCTCCTTCCACTGTGCTAATTTCCTTGTCTTCTCTACAGTCATACAGCTATAGAAGGCCTCCCAATTTAATACAAATAGCACAATAAAAACACACAGATAGATAGCGTCGTAGCTAATCCCTTTTGGGAGTAATCTGAGGGGGAGTGCAGCGATTGATGGTATCTAATTTATCACTCACCTGTTTCCATTTCCTTGGCTCTGCATGCTACACCACGTGGATGCCGGAGGGCAAAACTGAACACCTGTACGAGCTGTCCTCTACGAACCTGACAGTGAAATATTCTCCTAGAGCCAAGTTCAGTCAAATTTCGCAATACCGAACAAGTTGGCCCACGAGGCAATGATTCAATTTACTTCACCACGTCACTTTTTCGCTCCAAACGAGTTTGACTCCTACCTAAGTCTCATCAAGTCTGCAAGTACGACCTAGTACATCCTCATTCCAATGACCACACCTCTTGTTGACTTCCTCTGGCCTCAGCCGGTCACCAAATACACACCCATGCTGATATTTACACCCGACAGAGCAAGCAAAGCGTGGCGCACAAATCTGGGAGATAGTTCTTTGGGATGGATGTGAGAGAGATGAGGACAAGTTTACAAGATGGCACCGAGGATGGATACAATCACGACGGACGTGAGATTTTGAATTTTGGCTAGAGTTTTACGAATTGGCCTTTGGGTGCACCAAGAATTCGCTGCTAGAGCGCAGCTGACACTATAAACACAAGCCGACGATGGAAGGTGCTGTGATCCGCCTCCTGATGATGTTCTCTGGTATAGTTTGAGTAGCCTGGGCACCTGCCCCACTTAATAAGGAAACATCTCAGACCACATTTCGCGCGGAGAAAAGATAATGGATGATAGAGGCATGTCTGGATAACTCAGGGTTTTTGAGATGTTCCATTGGGTGGGTATTCACGGATGAGGGTTGACTTGGGGTGAAGAAAAAGCTACCATAACTTCGCAGTGGTACATGTAAATGAAATCTGAGGCATGAGTGCTCCTCTTGTAAATTGAGTCATCTTATCAGTACTTTTCTTTGATATTGTGTCATAGCTAGATAGCTGCATACGCAATTAAAATCTGATGCAAAAAAAACTAGCGAAGCTCCTCTCGTCCGTACTTGATGCAGAATTTAAGAAGAATTGTTTAACCAATTAACAGCAACTGCAGAAACGTGACATATTGTTTAGATTATTTGCACACTTTTGAAGTGCCCAACATTGATAAGCTTGAACACACTTAAGTTTATCCGAAAGCGGACCGGCCACTTCAAATTCTTCAGATAAATGGCCACAGCCTTGGATTCGATTCTAATGTCGGTATTAGGAGAGCTCCGCACCCAGTGGTTTTTGCAATGTCTCCCGGCTGTCATACACCCGCAAATGGCCATCGCCTCGTTGGATGGAGAGGGGAGATGATAAAGGGTAAAGGGCTCCTCTAATTGTATGATCGAATGAGGACTTGTGAGGGGTGGTACTCTTTGAGGGGAGCTGTATGAGAGGCAAAGGAGGGGATATACTACTGGCATAGGCATCATGAGCCTGTAGGCAGAGAGGACCTACATTTACTACATAGTGTTGTAATTAAGGTATGAGTAGGTATGAGATGTTGAATATTCTAGGGATAGTGCAGAGGGTGGATAAGGATTATCAGAGCTTGACGATATGATGAATAGCTTGGTTATATTATTGTACATATCAAAGTAGTAGATAGGACTTATATACACATATTTGGCACCCGCTATACAGTACATCACCGTCTATGCATGAAGTACTACAATCTTAATTCCATGCAATACTATCCCACATTACTCTATGCCATTGTATAGAGCTGCGCCTCAATAGTCCATCGTAATGATAGCCATGTAGGGCTGTGCAGTACTCGCATAGATGTGTTGTATCTCTGGCACTTGGCAGAGATAAATTTAGAGTAAATGCAATAATCACATCACAACACATAGTCATTGATTCAGACAGTACAATAAAATGAACAAATGATAAAAGAAAACTTAACAAAAAAACTGTCGGTTGATTATATACACGTGTACGCGTACGCAATGGGTTTCTCTCTGATGTGGTTATTCTTGTTCTATTCACTCACGGGCGTGTCTGCCATGTGGGCGACACGGCGAACCGCTCTAAGTCATGTGACTACTGCCTACTCACACAACAAACTCCCATACCTGCCAGGTGACCACAAACCTACTTCGGCTTTGAAGATTCCTCATTGATATTACAACAAAAACCATTCCTCAATAACTGCCATTAACCATCACCTGACTAATTTCTTTACTCCATAATTTCGACACGTGATGATTAGCCATTCAGCTCAGTATCTATTCATGGAATTCAGCCATTTTTTCCATGGATTCTTCTACCCCAAAAAAAAAAGAAAAAAAAGGTAGCGGTGGAAACTGCGCGCACGGGAAAAAGTCTCAAAAAATCTGCAGCCCCAGCCAGGCGAGGCCTAGACACCGGGACTACATGAGGTGCGCATATTCATCTATATCTACCTTCTTTATAGCAGTCGAGGTCGACTGGATCCAATCCGCCATCTCCGTATCGGGTGCTGGGTACGCTCCGGAAACTTACCGGATGGCTTTTCCTCCATGATCAAGGGTTGGTGATAAGTAGGGCTCCAACCCTACCATCTAATCCAATCGAGGTTAGCCTCATGATAATGGTGATAGGGGGCTTGTTGAGAGATGAAGACTACACAGACGGCGAAAGCGATTGGGGATCCTCGTCGAAGTGAGGACTTTGTTACTCAACATCGGCTCTGTAGACTCGACGGTGAATGTTTTACGGATCCGTTAACAGAATTCTAAGACTAATATTAATTCGTGGTGAGGTGAAGGGGTGGCTAACTAGAACCATCAATTTAGGAATAGCTTCTCCTATACAATTAGTCGTGTAAAAAGTCATGTAAGGATACACAAGAGAGTCATGAAGAGGAGGATAAGAACACAGCCATTAATGCGAAGATGTTGGCAATAACAGACTACGATTAATTCCGGCTGGCAAATGCCTCTACTCTTGGATGTAATGGTTCAGCGTGTGAGAGATTTACTCCTCACGCAACGTCTTCTTTACTTATCCTTTACAACACACTTGTTAATCCAACTCTTCTCCGGGAAGACCATCTATCCATTTTCTAGTTCTTCATCAGCAAGACCCACGTGTAACATCTACCGCAACAACTTGCCCATTCATCCCTTAATAGAGAAGACCTGTCATCCCTTTGACCCACTTATTATCTTCACTTACCACCTAGATCTTCACTAGGCTATACAACGCACCCCGTGGAACACTGTCAAACCCTCTTCCTTGAGAGAAAGCTGGAGGTTCTTAGGGGACACCACTAACAGTGTGGAAAGCAGTCCCCCAAATACACTAGTCGATAAACCTAGATTTTCGAGGCTTTGGTCGGAATTCAACCTACTGTGGGTGAAAGATTAGAATGATAAAGATTTCTGAATCGTCGTGGTTTGCGCGAACTTATTGGTAAATGTAAAATTTGGCTAAACTTGGCCAAGATATTATTCCATTCCCAGATTTGTAGAAAATTTCACTACTTAGTGCTACAGTCGCAACTTTTACTTTATTGGCTGACCGCACATTACGGGGAGTATGTTGCTTTTATATGTCAATAATATAGCTGCTCAGTTTCAAAATATTTCAATTATGAAGATTTGGTAGACAGTGAAAGTTCAAAAATGTTATCAACTGGGAAAAACCTTATTGTCATTATTTGGGCGGGAAATTTGAGGATTCCTGATGACGGATATAAAAGCAATCATATTAAACGGCTCATAACAGTGCAACACCAATATATAACAGAAAGATGTAATAGAGCTCATGGTCTCGACGCCTTCTGTTCCAAATAAAACTACCATATTCACTCCACAACTCCCAAGTGGGCACCCTTGGAATCCAAAAGATAATTCCGCCAACCATCCCAAAAGACAAGTCTCTGATTACACAAATAGATGATGCGCACGTCAAGGAAGATTATGTTCAAACCCTTCCCCAAAGAGATACCCTGCTTCAAGACAATATGCACCTCCACCCACCATGCTCTTCTCACTGCCCCAGCAAATAATGCTCGCATCCACAATTCCACCCAAGATTCCCTCTATTGTACTGAGAACCCCCCAACCTATAAACCCAGCTACAAGACCAACAACGTAAGCATACGCACTCCCACGCAAGCCGGTGTCTTGCGGAACCGTGAGATGAAGTTTCTTGGCGGTGGTGACCCATCCCCCAAAGCCCAAAGCTACCGTCATTACTAGACGAGTCGCGTGAAGAATTAGTTTTGCGAAGCGATAGGCTAGTACCGGTAATTCCTGGCGGTTTGTAGCATTAAAGGACTGCGGTGTTAGAGTAGTAGTGGGATCATGTGGTGTAAGAAATGACATTTGGCACAAGCCTCGAGCAGATGTTTGTAGAGACTGCGAGTGGATTGCAGCATAGGTTAGAGTAAGAGGATTGGTGAGAGTTGATATTGGTGTCGGAACCCAAGAATACGCGAGCATGGATATCACCCCTGTCAAACGATGTGGAAGTAGCAGCAGTGGAAGCCGAACTACAAGAGCAATCAATGTTGAAAGAGAAATTGTTCCAAAGAGTGTGGTAGTTGCGTGCGATGTAGCTGCCGCAATTACCTCCTTCGAATCCGATGATGGTTGCACGTTGCGATGAAAGTACCATTCCGAAACAGTGGCAGCTGTAATTGATCTTTGGAGTCCACTTATCACTGATAGGGTCCAAATATACATGAGGATAAAGTAAACACCCAGCCACCAGGTGCTTGTGTCAATGCTGAATTTGATGAGTGAGCCTGATAGCTGCCCACCAAGAAAGACTCTTGTAAACATAACCAGCCATACCCAAGTCCAGCTGATTACGCTTGCCAATGTTATAAACCCTACAACAAGAAGCCCTGGATTTGCAGACAAAATTTTCAATGAAAATTCTATAATACCAATTGCTTTTGTTAAGGAACGTCTTCCACGATAAACTGTGTAGATCCAAATAAATGTGAATACTCCTGGAATAATTGAGAGCCATCTCATGGCTTTGTCCGATAAGCTTGAGCGACTAGATGTAGTCTTGTTAAAGCTAGCAATGAATGGATACAAAGAGAATGAGAATAAAATGACAGGAACGGCAATTATTATCAGGTAAACCAATGTTCGGACAAAGGATCTTAATAAAGTAAGCCATATGAGGGAGACAAAAATAGAGACTAACGTATCCACAGCAAAAAGGTAGAAAGATGCGTGTAGGGTAGTATATATCGTATCGCCGATAAATTTGGTGGGTGTTTCTGTGTGCAGATAAACTAGAAAAAAAGTTGCAAAGGTACCCCCCAAGCATATTAAATAGAGGGATCCCCAAAAAATGTCGTATTTTGGAACTTCCTCTGATATTGTGGAGAGTGTCGTAGGTAACGTATTGACAGCGCTCGGAGGACTAGAAATGGCACCCGCAAAGTTTTGGCCGATCATGTTCGCTGTTGGCTGTTTAAGAGTTTCTGGTTTGGAGATTGATCGGAATTTCTGAAAGGCTGGGGGGCTATCATCTAGAGATAACTCAACATGAAAGTCTTCGGGTGGTTCATCTCCCTCGTTGAATGAGCCTAGGCCAATCTCTTCCATTTTATCTTTTCTCCCGTCACCATGGCGTATACTCCCATCTGTATCATCTTCTTGCGGTTCCTTTTTGTCACTAATCGAATCTGGATCCCATCCTATACCTCTGCGAGTACCAGTCGCTGCGCCTGTCCAACTACTTTTTATGCCACGGATTAGCATTGGATCACCGAAACTCCTTTCGCCTTCGTCTATATCATTGATATTGAAAGATGCGCTGCTGGCTTCTGGTTCAGTTTCTGAGCTTTCCTCAAGCCGAGCTGAAGCAAATACTCTCCTGGACTTCTGCAAGGCAAAGAAATCGGCGGATTCACGTTCTCGTTCTTCTTCGTCGTCTTCTTCCCGGAATTCGTGTAGAGCACTGTGAAAAAGGGGCGCCTCTGGAGCAGTTGAGTAGCGCGAGAAGTGAGATAGATGAGAAGAATTTTGGTAGGGGTTACTGAGTCGCGAAGAATATCCCCGAGAAAAGTTACGAGAGGGTTGGTTTAAGCGGCGATATCTATCATTAGGCGTTCCATTGAATGTCCCGCTATTGTCTACTGGCTGGGCGAAGTTTGATATACGTGACTGAGACTGGGCCAGGAAGCGTGATGCATCTAGTAAGGTGAGTAAATATGAAGAGTTGCTCGGCGATTCAGAAGAAATTTCAACTCACACTCTGAAAACATTATCTATGGATAAGATAGCTGTTAGCTACAGCCTCTCCACGCGCACTGGGATAATGAAGGGAACAATAGCTGATAGTCAGCTAAGCGAGATCGTATAAGTCTGTCCAGCTAGAGGCCTGTCAATCATAAGGCTAGTTAGCATTGCGAAACCACTAAATATGGATGGATATTGAGAAAGTAATACTCACTGTTTAGGAGGTAATCTCGATCACGGTTGTCTCGTAGAGTATGTTGCGTCCGATAGCAAAGTCTCAGGCCTTGTCATGATCATATGTGAAAGTCGTCTCTTTGTTTTCACAATAGAGAAATGCTGCTAAACTAATACCTTCCAAAGGGCTTACATTGTTAAAACAGCTTGATAGGTGGGGTAGGTCAGCTGAATGTTAACATTTGGTTTCATGCTCGGGATTGCGGACCGCCATGACGATTGGTCGAAACATACATCTTTCTTACTTGTCTCCACACTGATACTAGTGTCCGTGTGGATCACCTAAAGATAAAATTTATTACTTTCTATAAGTTCGAGAAAAGTGGCTTAAATGCATCAGAACTGCTCTCACAGATCTAGCCATATTACACATGAGCTTGAACAACCAGTAAAATAGGCCGACGTGTTAGTTTAAACCGCGCCATTGGCTGAAATCTTTACCAGCTGTGCGACACCAAGTGGTAATCACAGGCGCATTAGTTCGAGTAGTCCTGGGGTATCAACCGCTACATGATCCACAGATCAGTCGAAGTCTCATATTGTTTTTGTTTTAAAATTATCTCCTCAGTCCTTACTTACCTTACAAGCCTCTTCACCAGGCTTATGCCCTTTACGAGTTTCATCTAAAGCTGATATGGGCCCAAACGGCTGTCAAGTTATACCCCGGAACAAGACTTTTGACAGTGCGAGTGTAGCCTGAAGCCTCAAAAAATGACACATCCTGCACAGAAGCAAATAAGTTGAGTTTTGCATCGGAAATGATCCATACAAGTAGAGATCTATTGTTTGGGCAACATATTGTACGCATGCTTACTTATTTTTACAACCTTCCAATCGCACTACACATAACTAGGCCGAGTCGAACAGGTTGCTTCCAGACAACACCAATTATGATAAGCACACAACAGCAATATATTAGCTCCGATTTGTGAGGAATGCTCTTTAAACTCATATATGAATGCCGAGACGCGGAGCAAACCTGTCGCGATACACACCCTAATTCTCGTGAAATGTAGCTCGGGGCTAGCACCAGTCACGCACAACTGAGACAACGTTCCAGCGGCCGAAATTATTTTCTTTGGAGTTTGATCGATGCATTTATTTTGACAACTGTACTGAAATACTCTACAAGTCAAGGAGTGAAATTGACCCCCATTGCTAAGTTTAACCAAATTTCGCAACACCGAAGAAGTTGTTGATTGCGGCAATGATTTAACAATCTCTACCATATCAATCTACCTCTATCAATGGGATCAATTCCCACCTAAGCCCCATTAAGTCTGCAAGTAAGACCAATTACGTTCTCAATTTAATAGCCACACCTCTTATCGGCTATTCTCTGGTGTCAGCTAGCCACAAGATATATGCTCGCGAGATAACCAATATTTACAGGACAATAATTATGGTGCAAAAATTCTGTAGGAGGATTATTAAGTTTGAAGTGAGAGATATTAGGGTAGAAACGCAAGATAATACCAGGAATTGAATCAATACTTGGAAGAACAAGATATCAATTTTCGGAAATTATCATTTCGTATTAAGCATTTTGCGCTTCAGTGTCGATTTCAAGATTACAAGGAACATCACAAATACTGACATAGATGGATATTGCGGCGGTATATTATCTGGGCAGTTTTCACAGGTAGATTCCAGGTAGCTTGGACGTCTATCCCACTTAAAACTGGAGATCGCTTTTTTGAATCCAGCAAGTGTGAGTAAAATTTCCCGTGGTGCTCGTGTGCATGAGTGACGAATGAATGCTTGGATAATCAAAGGTTTGGAAACTTCCCCTTGGGTGATGCAAAAAGATAGTCGACTGCTCTGCGTAAGCAAACACACCTCACCGTGCCATTTGCGAATGAAATACAGCGTCGGAATGTCTCAGAAGTCAGAAGAGTAATGTTATATGCATCCAGGTCGCTGATAATGCATTACAACTCTAAAGCTGAGTACAGATTAAATGATTAAAAAATATTTATCTTTTCTGTCAATAATATGATGGAAAAACATGTACTAGATAATGAAGACTTAAAATTAAACTGATCGTGTCACTTAAAGAGCCACGCCTACCTTAACGCCAACAAGAAGCATATCTCATTTTTGCTACTCTGCCGCACCTCGTGTTCATCAAGAATGTGCTAGTTAGCGTTTATAAGCTGCTATATTGGCTGCATGATTCTCACCTCTATTGCTCGAAATAGAACCTCTATCTGTGATAGGCAACACGTATGGATTGATAAGTTAATCTTAGAAGTTGCTCAACGCGACACTACAAAAGGGCCAGCCTTTTGGGCGGCCTCCGCGTGACTCTTTAAAGCCTGTAAGGCTAATATTCTCAACGAGATCTGATTTTGCCTTCACTGAGTTTCTTCCAGTCTTATTAGAGAAGAAGGCGCTATAAAACTCATTCACATTCTCTGAGACTTCATGCAAAACTTGGCCGGTAAAGACGAATTCTTCACCTTCCAGTGGTGCCGGTGTAATCGCTCAGTAAGCTCTGCATATCTGGGATAGCCAAGAAGAATCGCATCCGAATTGAAGTCGAACACAACCTCAAGCATATATCCATTTGACGACTTCTCGACAATGCCTCTCTCACCATTCTCATCTGAGTTCTTGACCTCTTCCTAACCACGCATTATCTCGCCTCAACGACCAATAAAGAAGTTGCTCCAATTGCAAATAGGAGCTTGCCCCGTTAATTTCCAGCCATCCATCACTTCATATTTACGAGGCTATTCATACCCGCACGTAGGAAATCAAGTCGAAAAATAAAAAGCCTGGGTCCTGGCTTTTGGGGGACTGTTGCTCCAATGGGACAAACGACTTGAGGGAGAACAGGCGGCTGAGATGTAGAGCGAGAGGATAACAGATCTCTAACGACCATGCTGGGTGTAAAGGTTTAATGGATTCAGATGTACTTGAAAGATAGTGACTTGATAGAAATTAATAACTTTTTCCTTGTGAAAACAATCTACTACCTACTCTCTCACTCCTTATATGCTCTGTGTCGACTAGTCTTAACTCCCTCCCTTGTCCACCTTCATATTCTGTCGAACACCTGATAGCTTGGAACCTACTGAATATAGTAATGAGAATCATCGCATATTGGGATGGCTAATTTTCTCAGATCTCTTACTCGAGCTTTGAAATCTCACCAGTGGCAGGATGATCAGGGTATTTAGGATGATCAAAGCTCCAACTTGAGGTCTTCTGATCTCCAACACATATAATATATTTCATGTGTAATTTTGGGGAACGAGGAGTGAGTGAGTGTTTGTTGTCCTAAAAATTCTTTAACTGTGTATGGACATGTAGGTCCTTTCTGCCTACAGGCCGGGAGTATCTATACCTCGGGTAGTATACTCCCTCATATGCCTTTTTCACGACTTCTATCCAGCAGTAATATCCCCTTAGCCCTTTATTCGAGTACACACTAAGAGGAGCCGTTATCCCGTCAATATCTCCCCTCTACAACCAACGAAACGATGGCCATTCGCGGGTGTGTAGCTGCAGGGAAAAGTCTCAAAAACCAGTGGGTGCGGGGCTTTCCTATGACGAAGAGGCCGGCCAGCCGGGCGCAGCAGACCTGTGTATACCTGGGAGCGTCTCTCAACCTTCCTAGCCTCCTCCTTACTCCTCCCTTGATTCATGCCACAGGACAAACCGAAGGTCGTAAAAAGATGTCAGAAAAGGCTTGGTCAAGATTGACCACCATGAAAGAGCCTGGCCTAGCATTCAAAAGTCGTCACGGACGTGAGATCGTCGAGTAACTCATGTATTTCAGACTCCCTCTTGGCTAGTAGATTCGGAAGTTAAGATTAGTAGGGACGATAATGTAGACGAGTCGAAATCTGCTTTTCCTGAGGGCGGAAGGGTCTTTTACTTTGCTTTCGTGGGCTTTTTGTTCGCCCGCCGATGGCTAGCACTTGTCATAATGTATTGAGGGCTTCTCTGACTACCGTTGTAGCGTTTGGTACCGCATGATCTCTTCTCATTCCCAGCATGATTATCGTCGTCTTGGTCGTCTGATGAGTTACCGGAAGTGTATCTTTGACGGAGGGGGAGATAACTCAGCTCAAAGTTGAAAAGGTGTCACTCAACCTCGGCTCTGCAGACTCTACTGTGAGAGCCGGAGGTTCATAAGACACACTACTTATGGGTGTTGAGAATAGTCTCACTGGGAAACGAGGAGAAGATGTTCTCTCCTGGAAATAGTTTCAGATGGGTACATAGCATTGGGGCCGGAGAGCAGTTGAGGAGCAGAGATTTCATCAATACGAATT